AAAAAGACATCAGAACAAAATAACCTATAAAAAATTTTAATAATATATGAAATATACCAATAACATATAAAATCCTAAAATATAATGTCTAAAGTACATTTACTTAGTGCTTGCTACATGAATTTGCTCTTTAGTCCTCTAATATTCCGTAAAATATGTATCACCATTTTACATGTGAGGAAACTAGAAACTGATGGAGAGTTAATAACCTGCCTCAAGTTTATACAGACAGAAATGATAAAGACAGGATACCAATGTAGGTAACCTGACTTCAAAATCCACACTCTTGACCACTACGTTCACTATGCTGTCCTTATAAAGCACCAAAATTACTTGGGGGTTGGGCAGGAGAGCAAACCAGTCTTTTGTTACAAAGAATCATGAATACTACATAGTAGAACTCCAGATTTTAAAAACCACTCAATTGCAAGTCAAATTTTTCTAAGAATAGTTAATTCATTACTGATGAAGTAAACTCAGAGACTCTATGATGCTAAAGAACTGTGCCTCCTCTGGAGGAGGGATGACATTAACACACTTGGATCATGCTACATTTAATGTGTTCAGACAACTCTCTAGGTACTCAATAGAACTCAATGTGAAAATAGTGAGGGTTCAAAAAAAGAGAAAATCACAACGAGGCAAAAGAATGTATCCCAGGAAGTGGAAGAAGTTCCCTTTCATCAACCTCTCTCCCTCTCTCCTTCTTTGGCATTTCACCCAGAGGCATCCTTCTTTTCTATATCACTCTAAGGATTATTACCCATTCCAAATTCAAAGCTGGTCCATCTTTCTTGCACTTAATCCTTACAATCATTTTATCAAAAAAACTCAGCCTAACAAAGATTACATGACTGTTACACATCCTCTGAAATGTTAAGTTGAAGAGGTGAGATTTGAAGTTAAAATCTGTGAATACATACAACTGCAAAAATCCTCACTTCACTTCTGGATTAAGACTGAGGACTTCTTACATTGGCCCACAGGCAATGCACAAGAGGTACTGAAGAAGGCTGACAGGGTGATAAAATGATCAAGACTCCAAAATATATAACATCCAGATTCATAATTTTATTGAAATCTAAATTTTCCCTTCTATCGATTTGCAAAATAACAGCAAATCCAGAACAAATATATATCCTGAACATAAAGAGATATATGAAACAGATATAGAATTATTTTACATCTGACAAGCACTCAACTTTTTTTTTTAATCAAATTTAGTGGAGTATAATTTATATACCAAAAAATGTGCCTGCTTTAAGCATACTGTTTGATGAGTTTTGACAAATATATACAATCAAGTACATGCCACCACAACCATCACAATAAAGAACATTTTTATCAACCCCAAAAGTTCCTGTGCCCTTCTCAGAAAACCCATGGAAAGGCCTCATATTCATTAAGAACTCAGGAACCTGACCCACAATTTTCTTACCTCTCCAAATTCTGTCATTACCTATGGGTTATGGGAAAGGGAATGAGACTCAGAATAGAGCAATTATTCTCAAGTGTCATATTCGCATGCAGGACAGCAGAAAAATTCTATTCCCAAAGGCCCTGTGTGGTTGACATATGAAATAAAATATAGTCAGGATACTGTATTCTAAATTTGAGTTTTAAAAGGTATATTCTACGGATACAATGCAGCAAACAGTAATTAGCCCACAAAAACCCACTTAGCCATAATATAGCCCAAAAATGGCAGTCTTATATTTATTTATGGCCTAGTAAGTGCCACAAATTATTCTAAGAGCTAAAAATACAGTACAAGTCCAACAAGTCAGATAAAGTCCTTACTGTCCTGGAGCTTACATTCCTACATAAGGGAAACAAATAACTTATAAATGAATAACTAAATAAGTATATAAGGTAACTTCGGAAAGGGAGAAATGAGGGACTGGCCAGTCAGCTCAGTTAGTTAGAGTGCAGTGTTGTAACACAAGGTCAAGGGTTTGGATCCCTGTACTGGTCAGCCCTCCCCAAAAAAAGGCAGATGGGGAGAGAAATGCTAAAAGAAAATAAAACAGGCTGATGTGATGGAGAAAGAGGGAGCCTAGGGGTGTTACTTCAGACCCAGTAATAATCAGAGAGGGGCTCGCTGAGAAGATGACACGGGAGCAGAGATCTGAAGGACAAGAAGACAGACATCAGAAAACAGGAGAGAAGAGTTTTTCAGACAGAGTCATAACACAAAGTTGTATAAGCACTGTGTTCAAAAAACAAAGAGGGCACCAAAGTCAAGGGTTCAGATCTCCATAGCAGCCAGACATCAAAAAAAATAAAATAAAAAATAAAAAGGGGAAGAAGGCCAAAAGGCCAATATGGCTCAAATGTAAGTGAAAATGAGACAGGTTAAGATGAAGTTGATTTGGTAAGCAGGGACTGAGTTTTATTTTTTTAATTTAACTTCACTATTCCTCCTTATATTACTTTCAACCAAGTTTAATATTCTCTTAGATATTTATAAACTATTATTTCTATTTTTGTTTGGCTTAGAGTAGCCAATCTACTCAATCCCATCTGATTCCTTTAATTCTGTTTATTTTCTAAAGCTGTGTATACATTACTCCAAAACAAATGCTAAAGAGCAAAAAACTTAATCATCTCACAGTGTTCTCTATTCAAAATAAAGCACTCAATCCACTTGATTTTAGTGAAGTGACTCAATGTTTTGACATGCAGACAGAAAACAAGAGTTATTTTGTTTATCTGCAAAGCTGATGTCTTTCTTCTACCACAGGAAGTTTAGAGGGAATCCCATGGCAATAACTGAATTGCTTTTCCCTTCTACACACTAGTGTGGTCTAGAGAAAATGTAAAAACAACAAAGTTAATGAACTTTTAACAGGCATTTACAGGAATTTCTAAAGATGTTTTATGGTTGTTCTGAAAGTAATTTCATAAATGTGGAAAATTTATAGTTGGTTTTCTTCTGACTAAGACAGTATGATCAATCTTGCAAAGTTCTGCAAGGGAAAAATCATTATGCCTAAAATACTACAAACAAGAATTCATAATCTAACATTAGGCTATTAAGATGTTAACTGATCTTGACTGTTATTTTCTATCCTTCATCCCCAATTTGATATGCTACCATAATTTAAGCACCATTTTATATTTTATATTAATATATAATAAAAGATTACCCAAGAATCAAAAATAAAAATAGACCTAGAAACTAATATGTTAGTTCCTCAACTGACTCATTTATGACAAAAATGATTAACAAGGAATCTTACAACCACTCTTACCAGTTTAAAAAAAATGAAAGAAAGAAGAGAAAAAGTGCATCTTACTTAGTACTACTTCATTTTCTTTCTCAAACTCTTCAATATCAAATGAAAGATACCAGTTAAAGGTACACAGGCCTGATTTTAGATCTTTGGATATTCTGAAGAATATTCTATCCCAACCAAAGACCTATTCAGATACAGCTCCTGCTAGTCAAACATATATCTTCCAAAAATCATATATTTAGTACAAATAAATCAATAGTTCACACTGTCGAGAGTAATTTTCCTATATTTTCCATATAGGAAAATACCATATTTTCTTCACCAAGGAGAGATGCTTTGAGATTTTTATAAAAATAAGGTTCTCAACAGATATCAAACACGGCAAACAAACACAGCTTGACAAAAATGTTTAGACTCTAAATTACATCTCTACACTTAACTCTCATTTTACAAGAAATACATAGGATAGAGGAACAAATTAAATGACATGCATAAGGAAACAATCAACAGAAAATTGGTCTGGACTCTTCAAAAAGTCAACATCACAGGGAATTAAAATAGGGAACCAAAGTAGATTAAAAGACACTAAAAAGACATAATAAGCAAATACAATGTGTAAAAACTGTTTAGGTCCCGGTTTTAAAAAAATACACTGTAAAAAACATTTGTGGGAAAATTGGAAAAATCTAAATATGAACTGATAATAGATAATGAAATATTTAATTTTCATAGGTTTGATAATGGTATGTTAGGTAAGAGAATATCCTTATTCTTAGGAGAAGCACGCTGAATTATAGGTAGATACAATCTCACCAACTTACTTTCAAATAGATCAGCAAAAATAACTGTAAATGTACAATTATGTGTGTGTGCAGGAAGAGAGAAATAAAGCAAATATTAAAATTTCTGAGTCTAGATAGAGATAATATAGGGTTGTACTATTCTCTCAACTTCTACACACACTGGAAAATTTTCAAAAAAAAAGTCCTTCTCCACCCTAGAATATAAAGATACTCTTCTATATTTTGTCTACTAACTGGACAGTTTTATCTTACACATTTAGATTTTTAATCCCTTTAGGGTCCACCTTTATAAGTGGTATTAGATATAGGTCCAGTTTTATTTTCCTCTAGTTTTCTCAAAAAAACCTACTAAACAATTTGTCTTTCCCCCCACTGACTTGTGGAAGAATGATTTTTGGTCCTGCTTAAAGATCTAAGCAGAGGAAGAAAAAAAGAATAAAAAAGTAAGAAAAAGAGGAAAAGAAAAAGAAAAAAGAAATGGGTACATGTAGGAATGGTATAAGAGCTTAGCTAAGGAACGGCTATGAATAAATGAGCTATTATCAAATTACTGTGCAACAAGTCATATTTACTGAAGTACATAAGAAAGAAATGGCAAAGGATAACTGAATACCTATTTTTTAAAATGTATAGACCCTCAAAGCTGTTCAGAAAATGCCTAATTTACCTGGTACATAATATCATAAGGAAAAAGTTTCCAGAGATTAGACCATCTTCTACTAACCAATAAGCTAGGTTACATTTTATTTAGTATTTACTCTTCTTTAGACAGAACAAAAATGACAGCAAAGCAGAGACATTATAAGCATCCTGAAGACTATCTCACAAACTTTCGTCTTCCTTGAAAATAAGAATTTTCAGGTGACTTTGAAACAGCTTATTCCTTTCATTAGTTTAGCACCTAAATCATATTTTTAAACATAAATTTATAGACTTCATAATTATTCTAAAAACATACCTTTTATTTTCAGCCAAACTGGCTCCTTCATCCTTCAACTGCTTACTTTTCTCAGCACAGCCTTCAAGGAGAATTTCTTTCCTACGTTTAACGGCATGAAGCCAGTTCCCTTCATCATTCTCAACTACATCCTTCTCATCAGCAGCTTCAGCTTCAAATTGCTGGGAAGTGACTTTTGAGACCTTCTCACCAATTTTCCTCTTCCACCCAAATGAAGCCATTCTGGAAAATTATTAAAAAACAAACAAACAACAACAACAACAAAAAAAACACAGCTTTAAAATTTAAATTTTGTAGAGGATGCTAACATTAATAAAAGTGCATATATTTCACAGAGCCTTAACCTTTAGCCTAGTAGGGCCACAGCCTTTAGATTAGAAGGACCACCATCCTTAGATCAGGCTGTAGCTTAGTATCATCTTTATCTTAGTAGGACAACAGTCCTTAGCTGTTAGAAGGACCAAAGCCCTTTAGTTTAGGCTGTAGCATAGTAGGGCCACTGCCCTGTAGTTTTAGCAAGGCCAAAGCATTGTAGTTTGAGGAATAACCTAACCTTTTAGTATTGCACAAAGAAATGCTAAGATTGGGAAAAAACAGAAAACTTTCACAGGGCTAAAAAGTCTCTGGTGGGGATATGAGAATTGTAACACAGCAGAAGTGCTTGCTCTAAGGGTAGATGCCCTTGGTGCAGCTAAACCTAATTATAGGAAAATATGTGTACTGAAAGCTTCAAGGCTACTCTGCCAATTCACAGATGGTTCCACATTTCACCTTCAACTGCTTCTCTAAGTTTCCTAGGGAACTAAGTGTTGCCATAATGATTATCTCATTGGTTCTTTTGTATGTCACATAGCTTAGTTTTATGACTCCTTTGATGGTAAATTGCTTAAATTATTTTTAAGTTGCACCTGCTTTAATGAAAATTGTTATGTAGCCAGTCTGTTTATGACTGATTAACCACCTGTGTTCTTTTCTGTAACTTTTTGCCTGGACAATAAAAAAACGAGAAAAAGCCCTGATTCAGGGTCAGGAATTCCTTTTCTCTTGAAGAAGTCGTTCCTTGGATCTAACCCCTTCGGGCCTCTCATTGCTCAGAAGAAATAGGCTTTGAGTAATCCTTTGCATCTCCGTCTTAGTCACCCTGAGGGAGAGGTGACAAAATTTGGCCTTTTACAGAAGTATTCTAACTAATAAATGAAGAAGGAATAATAGGATTAGACTATAACCATTTTTTACTCCTACTTAGTGGATCTAGGCAAGTCATCAATGGCTGCTAATTTCACAAAGAAAGACAACTGGACATTATGCACCTCCTGCAAAAATTGAGAAGAAGTGGCACACCATCTATGAAGCACTCTTGCAAAAATTAATCCTGAATCACATCAGGCCTCTACCAGTTCATAAGAACTATGAGATACATTAAAGCATGTTCAGTAACACGTCAGAGATACAGATAGCAGAAAACAGAAACTAAAGAAAAATAAAACTGGTTTCTTCAAGAAATAAACTGCCAGGAAAAAAAAAAAAAAGAAAGGAAGAAAGATCGGAAGTAATCCTTATATAAAGAGAGACTTAAGAGACATACTAACCAAACATAATGTGTGGATCTTTTTTCAGTCCCGATTCAAAAAATCCAATGGGGAGGAAACAGTTATGAAACAATAAGTGAAATCAGAACTGATTTGATATCTGATGACATTAAGGAATTACTGCTATATTTTTAGGTGTAATTATGTTTTTAAAAGAACCCTATCTTTTAGGAATACATGATTAAATATTTCATATTAAATTATATGATATCTAGGAATTATTTCAAAGTAATCAGCGGGGGTGGTGACTACAGTATAGGGAAACATAAAGGTGAAATAAGATTGCTTTGAATTGATAATTGATAAAGTTGGGTGATGAATACATAGGGTTCACTGTACTTCTCTCTCTCCTTTCATATATGTTGAAATTTTCCATAATAAAAAGGTTTAAAAATATCTAAACTTGGTAAATGACTTAATTCACAGAATTACTGGGGAAATCCAAAAAACAGCAGATGTTAAACAGCTTCGTAAATCTGCAATGATATACAAATGTAAGGGATAAGAAAGAGAAGATAACTGATGGAACGAAGTTGAAGGAAATCCTGAAAGAACTCAACAAATATTTATTTAGAGAAGAAATTAACTGAGGGATCCAAGAATTTACTAGTTGCAAAGATAGGCTTCAAGATACTGAGAAACCTCTAAAATAGGATATAAAGTTTTTATATTCCTGTGTATTCTGGGGAACAGTGTCTAAGTTTTTATTCTATTCTTAAAGGAGTCTGTAATCAAAAGGAGATTATAATCAACTGAATGATCAACTAGAGAGACAGGGAAAAGCAATGAAATAAAAGTCTATATGAAATTATCAAAGAATGGACATTGTGGGAGTAAAGGAGAGAGAATGAAATAGTTAATAAGTTCTAGCAGATCTCAAGGTCTCCACCACTGATGCATATGGCTGAAATGAAGTAATCACTAGAAGTAAAAAGACAAAAAAAGTGAGGGTATACTGTGTGCGTGGAACTGTTCTAGGTACTAGAGAACGAAAGTCACTGCCATGGTGGAGCTTTTATTCTGGTGGAGGAGACAGGCAATCAGCTAAGAAATAACAACATAAATTCAGGTGGCATGGGCTATGAAGAATAAGAGTATGCTTAGGGGATAATAAGTGACAGTGAATGACTTTTTAAGATACAGGATACACTGATATGAAATGAAATTCAGCATCCTGTCCTTTGCAAGAAGTTAGGGGCATCCTATCGACATATAATGGGTAGTTTAAACAGTGAATTTGGTATCCAAATAATTATTCAGAAAAAGATTGTAAATGCCTTAGAGATACAAAGTTGTGAAGAAAGAAGAGGGCATAGTCACATCTGGTTGGAGGAATGAAGAAAAGCCTTCAGAATGTAATGGCATTTGAGATGAGTCTTGAATAAGTTATAAATAGAAATTACACATTTTCCTGAATGTTAAAAGTAATAATGCTCACTGCAGAACAATGAGTTTGTTTGCAAAACAGAAGAATATTTTAAAAATTAAAAATAATTCCAATACTCATAATAAAAATTTTTTAAAAAGAAGAAAAGGTGGCTGTGAGGTCATTCAAATGCAAAGGCCCCCTTGGGCCTTTCTAATGGCAGAATTTGGAAGGATAAGAAAATTGTGGGTCATGTCCTTAAGTTCTTAATGAATATGAGGAAGAGCCAATAAATCCCAGCAATCAAGACATGTACAGGACGATATAGGTGAGCCACAAGCTTTCCACAGGAGTGGGGATTTTTAGAAAAACCTGGAGGAGTAACAGATAATAAACTACACTAGAGAACTAGGAAAATGCAAACTCTCTAGACCCATCATAATATCAGAGAATGAGTTTCCTACATTTGAAGATGACTACAAGTATCCCAGGGGAAGAACGAAGAAATGGCTGAAAACAGAAATGTTTTCATACAGAAGTCCAGAGGCACAGAGTGAGGACAACCTGAGGATTGTTAGGAAGGCCTCGCAAGATATCAGGATAAGACAGGCTAAGGAAGAAATCTTGTATTTATGACTGGCTCTAAAGGTAACAAGAATAATGATTAAGTTTTCTGGCTTCAAGTTTCCAAATGGAACTTTGTTTTTATACTAGCAATTTAAGGCACCAGGCAGTGTGGGAACCCTATTAATACTAAAAGAAACCTGGTGTGTTTACTTAAGGCAGATTATATTAGAAATCATTGGTTAGGTCAGGGGACAAAGTAGGCAAGAAAGGAAAAAGGGAGAGACAGAGTCACATGTATTTTTTTTTTTTTTTTTAATTAATTGAACATTCAGACTCCTATTATCTTCCCCACCTCCCAACCCAAACCATTGTTATAATTGCTGAGGACAAGCAAAGGTTAAGACACCAGGTAAGTGGTACTCAACCATGCACGAAAAAGCCATACACACCATTACCTCAGGTGTTTGTGCCATTCCCCCCCACAAATCCCTTACAGTCTTCTAGAGATCAGAGGCTGAAGAGGTCAGGACAGAATGAAGTTATAAGAGCACAGAAGACCTGATGAGGCTAGCAATTGGTAAGTTTTACCGTGAAGAAAGGAACAAGACAAAAAAAAAGTTAATATTGAGTGAAAAGTACAGGCGAGTTCAGGGGTGGAAGGAAAGGAGAGTGATGGATTTCATGCCCCAAGTTGAACATTACTCAGGGAAATAGGAAGCTAGTCATCCGCTGAAAGTAGAGGGAAAATATAGTTGGTCTGAGCACTTGAGAAAAATGGGAAACATCTGAAAGTCACTGTGGAGATTCGGAAAAGCAACAATAAAGGATAAGTAGAAATATCAAACAGTATCAAGGACCCACTGAGGTTAAAAGCATGAATCTGTTACCAAGGCCATTAGCAAGTTTTATACAAAATTGTCTGGAGATCACAGAGATAGTCAATTATAATACAGGATAAGTGCTACGAGAGTAAACAAAGGATACTGTGGCGTCAGAGAAGGAACACTTGAGGCTTCGTGGAGGACTTAGGTTTTGAATAATAAATTTGCCAGGCTCAAAAGAAGGGGCGAGTCCTAGAACATATGCATACACTTTTCGCCCTCTAAAATTTAACACTCTGAGTTGATTCAGGTATCTCAAATAGTACGAGTTTATTGTTCCTCTAAGGATATCGAATATGAAATTAAAATTTCTGATATAGGAGGCTTTCCTGAACCTATCTATAGTTAGATACACGAGGCGCCAACATCCTAGATAACATTTTTTCAGCTGGTTAAGAAACCATATGGGTTGGGCCTGCCCGGTGGCGCACTGGATAGTGCACCGCTTGGGAAGCGCGGCGGCGCTCCCGCCCGAGGGTTCGGATCCCACATACGGACCGGTTCCTGCTCACTGGCTGAGCGAGGCGCGGGAGCAGCGCAGAGGGTTGCGATCCCGTTGCCGGTCCCCGGTCCGGTACGGGGGGCGACACTGAGGGTTGCATCCGTTGCCGGACACGGAAAAAGACAAAAGACAAAAGACAAAAAAAAAAAAAAAAAAAAAAGGAAAGAAACCATATGGGTTAATCACAATCATTCGGGTTTCATGTTAAACTCGTAAAACCAGACATAGTCAACACCTTATTATACAGAATTATATTTAAGGAATGCCATAAAAATTCTAAACGACGACGCTGTATTCTAAATGCTTGTACTGGTATAATGTGATAGCTTGACATTTTACCCAACCACAAGCAAGAGAATGCCCGTCGTGACTGCGTCCGAGGAAGCAACGCCCAGGGCTAGAAACCACTGGATGAACTCGATCAGGAAATCGCAACAACATCCCTTCGGGTAAAGGGATGTGTTCGGAGGTGAGGAATTCAAGAAACTACCCAAAAATGTCACCGCAAGAAGGAAATCAGTATTAGCGACTTTCCCTTCATCGGTCAATAATTTTTAAAAAATGTTCATACAGTCGAAGAAACTCAAAAAGGCTGCCCTGGACGTCACCTGCGAGTTCACTAGGCTGCCCTCGGCCCCAGACCTCTTCAACGCAGGACGGAAAACAAGCTCCGCCCCGCTCCTAAGGGAAGGTCCGGCCCGCAGCGTCCGCCCCGCAAGCGCGAAAAGCCGCCCCAGGCGGCGGTGCAAGGGAGGGCCCAACCCCCAGACTCGCTTGTCCCTGGAGACCAACCTTAGTGTCCCAGCTCTGCCAGACCCCGTCGAGTCTCAACTCTGACTTTTGGAGCTCCTTCCTCCCCTGACCACAACACCTACTCGCCTAGTTTTCCTCCACTCCCTCCGGCTTCCACTGCGGACCAGGTAGCCACAGTACCTGATAACCAGTCCTGTGGTCCCGTGTTTACATTCTACTTGCCCTTTGTCCGCCGGAAGCGGAAGTTATCACGCTCGACTTCCTACCTGCCTGCCTTTGGTGCCTGGTCTTCTATAAAACGTGTTTGACCCACCCGGCGAGCATCCGAACAGTCCACAGAAGTGGGCAAAGGAGAGATGACTCTGAGAGACCTTCTCATCCGCCAATTCCTTCTCCAGAACCACAAGTCCCAGAAGTCACTGCGGTTAACCCCACCGCATTACCTTCTGGGATTTGTGGTCAGGGCCACTGGGCGGGGCGCGCCCTCTAGCAGCAGCCCCGAGCGTCAGGCGCGCGGGCGAGCGCAGTGCGGGAGCGCGGGAAAATGCGGCTGCGTGGGCTGAGGAGCTGCCACTGCAGTAGGGCGCGGCCCTTGCAGTTAGCAGGTAAAGCAGATAGGGCGCGGGGAAAACGATTTTGAGGTAGATTCAAAGGATTAAGATGTATCCTGCTCTAAAGGGGTCTTCGACCTAGCTCATGAGGCCGGCCAGTCGCAGAGGACGGAAAGCCAAAACTCGATTGAAAATGGCTCAAGGGGACAGATCAGGGAGGGCAGTTGGCTGAACTGTAGGCTTCACGTCGGAACTCACAAATAAGGTGGACCCAGAAGAGAAATTTCGGCCAAAGTAGCTGTGGGCCATGTCTTGAAAAATAAATAACTGGGCAAACGTAACACAGGTATGTGCTTAGGAAATTGAAAAAATTAAGGTGTTAATGTACCTATGTAGCTATCTTGTGCGAATACACCCTTTCTCAACCTCGGCAACGTTAACAGTTGGTGGAAGGGGGCGGGGGCGGTGACTTGTGCTTTGTAAGATGTTAAGTGCATCCCTGGACTCTACCCCCTGTATGCTATTAGCATCCACCACCACCGTCCCAGTTGTGAGAACCAAATTGTTTCTCCAGACAGTGCCCCACCAAATATCCCTGGAAGAAAAATAGTTCCCCAACCCCTGCCCTGTTGAGGATTGATGTAAACCAGTGACTCTGAAAGGGTGATCCTGAGACCTGAGCGTGGCCAAGATCCTTTCAAAGCCAAAACTATTTTCATATTAATATGAAAATATTCTTTGTCCTTTTCACAATGTTGACATTTGCACTGATGGTGGAAAAGCAATGCTGGGTAAAACTGCTGGCACCTCAACACGAATTATGATACCAAACTGTTCCAGTAGTCATTGTGTTCTTTACCACCACACAGTCACAGTTAAGAAAAATAAATGCCGTCACTCAAGAGTATCCTTGGTGAAGCTGTTAAAGTATCTTATCAAAAAGACCCTTGTGTACACTCTTTTAAAAATATTCTGTGAAAAAATGAGAAGTCCTCATATTGAAGTATGATGTCTCAAGGAAAAGCACGTATGAGATTGCATCTAAAGCAGATACTTTTTTGGTGCAATACAATTTTACTGAGAATGACTGACAAACTGGTTATTCAGACTTGGATATTTCTTTTCTTGAAAATGAGGAAAGGAAACCTGTTACTTCAAGAAAAACAACTGACATTGTTTGTTGTCCATGACAAAATCCAATATTTTAAGCAAAATGATCTTGGCAGCTTCCCAATACTTCCAGACTTTTCTGATGAGATCAGTGGAGATATTATCAGATGTGATTTGTATTTATATTGTTTGATTAAATTCATCAACATTTGTATAAGCTGCATAAATGAACCAATATTTTCAAAATGATCAATGCATGATTGTTAGCCTTAGCCAGCCTCCAAGATGGCCTCCAGCGATCCCCACTCCTGGCACTCATGTTCTTGTGCAGTTCTTTCCCACATTGTACCAGAGTTGGTCTGTGTTATCTATAAAACAGGGCAAAAGTGATAATATATTGTTTTGTTTTGTTTTTTGGTAGCTGGCTGATACAGGAATCTGAACCCTTGACCTTGGTGTTATCAGCACCACACTCTCCCATGTGAGCTAAATGGCCAGCCCCTTGATAATATAACACTTCAGATATTAATTATAAAAGACACTAAGGTGTTGGCAGTGTTTCTTATTCTAGGTAGAGATTTACATGGCCATATTCTCTGTATTTCGCTGAGCCAAATACCTACAATTTGTGCACTTTTCTGTATATGTTATACCTCTATGAAAGTCTTTTAAAATATGTATCTCCTTAACAAGATGCTCAGAGCAGCATTTATATCTTATGGCATTCACAGTACTTGGTTTATACTAGCCATGAGAGGGTATAGTTTGCAGAGTAAATAATTAAATGGTGCATGAAACTGTGCCCCTTTCTAGGGGGTCTTCCCTAAATTACTCAAGTAACTTAAAACTCGATCCCCTCTACTCTGATAAAAGCTACCTCCCACTATGTTTTTATAATTCACCCACCACTTCTCTACTTACTTTGATCTATGATCTTTATTCACCTATTGATGTATTTAATACATTTCCAATGCTGTCTTTTTATATACAACATGATCAGCTTACGAGTTGCTAAAAATCCTCTAAATGTATCATAGTTAATATTTATTGGAATTTACAATAAATAGAACAGTTTATTTACAATAAATAGAACAGTTCAATAACTACTGATTTTTCAAGCAAGAGAATTTCTTATATAATTTAAAGCAACTTATAAGCTCCTTAAAAGAACCTTATATCTATTCATAACACACTTTAGCACTGTTTTCTCTTGTTTTAAAGATTTAGAATGCCATCAATCTAGTACAAGCTCTGCCTAACAATGCCATCTGTATAAAAGTTTTAATACTAATTAAATTCTAACCATAGTTGGATTCTAACCAAATCCAGTATTAGCAACTGATAAATGGTAGCTACTTTGGCTTTTATTACATATATATTAATACTTTGTTTAGGTGGGTGATTCTTAGATAAAATCAAAACTGATTTAGTTGAGACAAAAATCACAATATTTGAGTAATAAAATTTGGTCAATTACTATATCTTTAAGTATATTGTTAAAAAGAAAGGTGCACAGATATTCAGCCAAGAACAAGATTTTTTTTTCTACTTAGTTTTCCCAGAGGTTAAGAAAGTAAGCACATTATAATCAATGAAAAATGAAGCTTTTCTTTATTATACCATCTTTCTAAATCAAGGTACTTGAAACTGTATACTTAAATATACTCCAGTCAAAACATACATGAACCACAAAGATTGATTTCTACCTACCACCAATTTATAGTTTTGTTGTATGTGGAATTTCATTCATCTTGTCAGGAGAACTCAGTGAAAATAAGATTTCTACTGTGGGTGGGGAGATGGGGGGAGGAGTTAAGGAAAAAAAGGTTTAGACAACATACATTTTTCTTTCATTCCAAAGGTGCCAGTCGGAACATAGATGATGGGGTTCTACATCTACTCACAGGCCACCAAGCATTAATTCAGTGTGAAGAGTATCACTACAGGATCAAAAAGGGCAGTATGGAGTGGGGAAGGAAGGATTTTGTATGAAATCATCTAAAACTACAAAAGCATCTCAAGAAAAAATATCAAAGTAAAAGCAATGGAGTTTATTTCAGTGAAATTATTTAAATTAGATATGATATATTAAGCTCCCATATGCCCGAACCTGGTAGAAAAGTTCCTCTCAGTGAAAAATCAATTATTTTAATGGCAAAACTTTTACATATCAGTAAAATCTGTTATATTTAAAACTATGTATACAGTACATTTCTGGCAAAAACCTTATACATCTTTCAGTTTGTCAAGACAAAGTAAAAATATGGCTGCATAAAATCACAAAAAAATATACTGTTGAAAAAATAAAAAAAGATTAAAAATCATTTTCATTGTCTCCCCTTACTCTTTAATATTAGTAAGAATTTGCAAACTACAATAAATTTGTGAAAATTCTGTTGCAACTTGACACAACCAAAAGTTGTCATTTCAAATATGCTAGCTTAAAAAAGAATTTACTGCAATAGTCTGTGCATTTATCATACTATTTGTACAAGTGCAATATTTAAATATCTTCAAAATAAAACTCAGTAACTAAAAGTAATCACAATAACTTATAAAAGAAGCAAAGTTTACAAAATTAACAATTTTTAGAAGATCCTATTTAACTGGTTCCTCCTTTTCTTCCCCCCTCCCCACAACAGCTTATAGAGACATTACTTAGCTCTATATACAAATCTGTAACTTTAAAAATACAGTTCTGTTCTTAACATCAGGAACATAATGCTGCATTTACACAGCCTAAGTTAAATCAATATCACCCAAATAAGAGGGCCACATACAGTTATACATACAGCTTTGAACTCATATTTAAATGGAAATTCTGTTACTTTATACAGCTTTCAAATTTAAAGTTGAATAGAATAACCCCTGGACAAAAAGAAGCACAATTTTTCTTTTCAATTCAGTGTATGATTCTAGAGGTGCTGGAGTCAAATCTTCACTACAGTAAGCATTTATGCAAGCTGTCATGAGATTTGAGTACATTATCATTTAGTTACATAGGTGCTCACTGTATTTTCCAAAAACAATCCTAAAATACAATGATTCTTAAAACAGAAAAAAGATAGCTCTGTTGTAATGGGAAAATGATTAATAAAAAAAAAAAAAAAAGTCAATTTCTTGAAACTAAAATAATGTAAGGCAAATAGGGTGACAGAATATTTTTTATTAGCATACACGATACTAATTTTATCTGAGGTGACTTTAAATTAAATCTTCATTTATACCTCTTATATGATGCTATTAGAGCGAGAAAAAGAAAATATAAATTAAATCAGAGAGCTTAGGAAGATTAAACATCTTTAGACAGTTCCTATAATGTTAACTTTTTAAAAAATAATTAAAACCCAAGATAAATGTTACCATTTAGAATAACTGATTTGTTTCATATTTTATCAAAATAATAATAATGTTATATCTGACTAAAAAGATATAACCAAATGCCATGTGAAAACTTTAATTGGATCCTGATTTGAAATAACCAGGTGAGGATCACTGGAGAAATTTAAATATGGACTGAGTATTAGATATTAGGGAATTATTAATTTTGTAATGGTATATGGTTTTTTAGGAGAATGTCATTTTTAGGAGATGTTTGAAGTACATGGGGGTGATAAGTGTCTGGGACATTATTATGGTTCAGGAATAAACATTACACACATATATGCATAACTGTATCTTTATACATATATAGCAAAGGGTTAATAATTGTTGAACCTAAATGGTAGATACATGTGTGATCACCCTACAGTTTTCAATTTTTCTGTTTTTAAAAATATTCATAATAGAATTTTGAGGAAAAAATAATAACCAAGCTTTTAAAGTTTATAAGAGATGGTCTTTCTATGCATTGAATCAATTTAAAAGATACATAATCGAATAGAAATTTTTGCATACATTCAATACTGACTGACATGATGAGCCAGGGGAATTTGTGAAATTGGCAAAAACAATGATTTATTTACAGTGTATACAACTCAGCTCTTATAATAAAAAAAATAGAACACTTTATGTACAGAATATAGTGGGACAAATTGTAAGATTAAACTTAGTGCCTAGAGTATGTGAATATATGAATTCTGTACATTTTTGGAATTACAAAACTAAAAAAAAAATTTAATTGGGTCTAATATCTGATATGACTTACCATATACTATAGAATTTTAAGAGGGGGATATGGAAGAAGTTATCCAGACTGTTACTACTGTTGAAAGATACTAGCTATTTAAGAAGTTAAGAAGCCCAGAAAACAAAATCACCTATAAAAGGTCTCTGGGAATTCTAGGCAAATATTTACTGAACAAATTTATGAAGCAAATATATAACACATAAACATGTAATAATATACGAAGGCCTTTATGGTAAATTAATATTCTCAAAGTCCTGTGTACACTAAATATAAAATAGCCAAAAATCAAGTGAGCCTGAGACCTATAATTCATTGTATATATTATATTATGCTATATGCCTTCTGAACAATGAACAACAAAATGATCTTAATTCATTTCTGCACATTAGGCTTTTAACTATTAATCACATTCCAATCCCTGTGTAACTTGTGTTTCAGAAGGCCAATCCTCAGTTATAATTATGTATAACTTGATTATAAATGGAAGCATTTGGCTACGATTTATTATGCATGCTTATTGCTATCAAAGAAATAAGCAAAGTTTTAGGTTTACTGTGCAAGAATTTTAATTAGATTTGCACACATCTCAAAAAATTCTATTGTGTGACTTCCAGGTCTCGGAGTTAAGTCAACAGGAGAAGAGTCAAGTGAGGTCACAGATGAGGTAAGAGAAACTTCTGAGGATTTTCCTTGAGCCTCAGCATCTGAATCATTCCTTTGGCAAGATCGATAGTTGCTAACTGATCCCGATCTCTGTGGAGTAGCAGTCCCAGATTTGGCTTCTGTAATTTCATCTGGGTAAAAAGAATTTCAATTTATTATAATCTACAGCCTCCCCCGCAATTTTTTTTGACAGTAGTGAATTTGCTTCTTTAAGTGAGACTACTAATCACCAGCTATCAAGAGCATGTTATTTTAAATACTTTCTAAAATAGAAGCAACAAGGCTGTGTTAAACCACTCACCTTCTTTAAACACACAGCATATATTCTTGTGATGGCTAATCAAGATTGGGTACAGTATGTAACTACTCGTCAGTCTTGCAATCCAGGATTACAAGCCCAGTAAACTAATAATCTGGGGCTTAATAAACATCATTCCCTAGCAATAAAAATTAGTCCCTCTATATTAAAATCATAGAATCAATGCCTGTGTAATTTAGAACTTGTCTTGGAAATCATCTCATTCAAGCCCTCATTTTATTGATAAGAAAACAACAACCCAGAGAAGTTAAGTGATAAAGTAACAAATGAACAGAAAAGTCTAGAACCCAAATCTCCAAACTCTCAGCACAGTGCTTTAAGATTTCATAAAAAAGAGCATCAATTCCAATGAACAAAAATCAAAGAAAAACTAATGTTGGGAACACAGTACAAAAACAATAAATGGTCAATCAATTGGTAAACCCAGGTGCAACTAAATCTAAGGTTGCAAAGTTGACCCAAAATATAAGAAAAATAAAACCCATTCCATATCTCAGACTGCATTGGTATGTGTTAGCAGATACATACTGTCTAGACATAAAGATAACCAGGCAAACATGTTTGGCTAGCATATCACAGCCTAAACCTGTCTTTCTGATACTATGTAGGTACTACCTTTGAGTTTATAAAGAAGAAAAAAATACATCAGTGAACCTCATCTAATAATTCCGTACAATCCTCCATAAACAAAGGTGGCACTGTATCTTAACACAATTGATTTGGCCAATGAAGAATTTGCCAAAATCTTCTACTTAATTTAAAAATTCTTTAATAATAAATAAAAATGTACAAAAAGGTCAACATTTATTTCTAAATAAAACATTTTATCTTACAAAAATCAACCACACGAGAAAAACAGAAATGTGACAGAAAACTATCACTTTAGTATCATACTGCATCTGGCTTTAAGGATTTTACAAGAAGATAATCTTAAAAGGACAATACACCATAAGATTACATGAACAACAAGATTGACAAACATTAATATCATGAAGGCACAGAAAGCCACCTTTTATATACTAGGAACAAGTCAAGAAGCTTCAAAAGAATCAAAGACTAAAAAACCAAGTTAGGTGTCAAGGTCTAACATGTCATATACATTGTTTTGTATGATGTACATACCATCAATACTACGGAAATCCAATAAGTAAGTTCTACTATCCACTTGGTATAACTGCAGACTCATTTTGGAGTATGTGCTTGTCACAGGATTCATCCTTCGTACACGCAAATAATATGGGTTTACAACCTAGCATATAGTATGGACAAAAACAGAGTCAAAGCAATTCTTCTATAAAACATTTTATGGACTGCAGATTTGTCATATAAGCTACTAATCAGAACACTCTGTCTTTCTTACCTTCCATTCATAATCCAATTGTTTAATTGCTCTACACACTTCTGCCATGATATCATTTGGTCGACTTTGACTTCTGATTCCCAAATGCCATTTTGCTTTCCTTACACCTTGGTGTTTGGATTTCTGTGGGTTTAATTCATCGAGGGTATGACGTGCCCTTGGTGTTTCAGCAACCAAGAATGGTACTCTTTCAGGGTGGGGCCGAGTCAAATGGTGATCATCGAGAAAAGAATCAGGTGGGCTTGTTGCCAAATAGAAATCTTTGGCTTCATTCATTATTCTCCTGTTATCTATTATGAGGTGGTAGGCAACTGCCAAAGGGTCCTGGTGATTTCTGTTATAAAGGCAGCTGAGAACCTCCTCTTCTGAGCATTCAAATTTTTCACATACTTCTTTTAAGGCTTCATCATCAATCATGGTCGAACTGTATGATGGATCCTCAGGAAAGAGATATTTTGGAAGGTCCTGTTTAAACCATTCATGTTCCCTGGGAGAAAATGGCACGATCAGGAGAAGGATTTTGAGTAGAGCTGAGACTGAAAGTAACAGTTTGGCGAATTTAGGATATGAATTCATTTGTATTTATACCCACACTGTATTATTATTATCAGTTTTTTTTTTCCTTTTTGTCTTTTTTCATGACCGGTAACAGGATCGCAACCCTCGGTGTCGCGCCCGTACCGCGACCGGCATCGGGATCGCAACCCTCGGTGTCGCGCCTGCACCGCGCTCAGCCAGTGAGCGGACCGGTCTCTATATGGGATCCGAACCCTCGGCGGGAGCGCCGCCGCACTCCCAAGCACCACACTCAACCGAATGCACCACCGGGCCGGCCCTATTATCAGTTTTACAAACTGAGATTTTCCTCTTCTACCTCACACTTCATTGTATATATCGAGGGAAATGTTCCAGCCTCACTCTGACTTTAAGAGGGAGAAAGCACTGATGTAGCAACAGGAAAAGAAAAGTCTACATTTTTAAGGTTTTGGAAAAAATGACAGTGACGAAGAACAGCTTATTTCTAGATCAGAAAGAGAACATATTATGTAGCTTCATTATAATACTCTTCTGATATGTAGTTGAGGAGAATGTAATAAGAACAAAAATAGTAGACAACTACCTGTGATATTATGATATATATATAGTGGTTTCTGTTCACAGTTTCTGGCTCCCCAAGACAGAACTCTAATCTTGCCCTGCCTTTCTGTCTTGGAGCTGGCCATAAAGAAATTCACTGACCTCCCTTGTCTGATTGTAGGTGATAAGACCTCCATTCCAGAAGGGTAGCATCCTATCACCTATAATGCTGCACAGAGAGTCTGAGAAGAACCTGAACAAGCAGGCCTTACTGGGTTTTACCATCCAGTCTGTTAGTGTTAGATCATACGCTTTTTGGCCAATCACATTTCTACATGGTTGCCCATGCTTCAATCATGTCTACATACGTAAAAACCCAAGAGCATAGGATTCGGGGAGCTTCTGCATAGCTGAACACATGGAGGTGGCACACCTGCGGAGGACACAGAAGGTCCGTGCCCCTTCCCCCATGCCTCGTCCTATGCATCTCTTCATCTGTATCCTTTGAACTATCTTTTTTAATAAACTGGTAGATGAAAGTATGTGTTTCCCTGAGTTCTATGAACTGCTCTAGCAAACTAATCAAATTCCAGGAGCAGGGTTGTGGGAACTCTGATTTTATAACTGGTTGGTCAAAGGTTCCAGAGGCCTGGGCTTGCAACTGACACCTAAAGTGGGGGATAGTTTTGGGGAGTCCTCAACCTGTGGGATCTGACACTATCTCCACGTTGATAATGTCAGAATTGAATTAGATTAGAGGGCACTCAACTGGTGTTCGCCTTAGAATTTCTGACTTGCTTGGTGGTGAGAAGAAATCTCCCCACATTTGGTCACAGAAGTTTGTATTCTGTGTTGTTGACTGTGCTGTGAAAGCAGAGAAAAAACAGGTTGTGTTTTTTCCTCTCTCACTACCACTCATTCAGTACTTACGATGTGCTTGGTTTTATGCTAACCACTTCATATACATTATCTTCTCTCATCCTCAAAATTATTCTATGAAGTAATATCTGTTTTAAATGAAGGAACTGAGGCTGAAGCAGATTAAGGAACTTGCTCAAAGTCACAAAGACAGTAAGTGGCAGAATATGACTGCAACCTAGTTTTGCATGCCTCAAAAAGTCATGCTCTGAATGATTTCTTGTTCCAATTCCCTAACTTCATATATAAAAGGATATGTTTGACCAGATCTATGTCAAAAACTATGCTAAAACTAGGGAAAAAAAAAAAAAATACACAGGAAAACACCCAAAAGGACAATGGGTATCTTCTGAGCGAAGACATTAAAGATAATTTTTATTCTCTTTTCTATTTATTTGGCATTTTTCTAAGTTTTTTCCAATTGTAATATATTACATTTTAATTAGAAAAAAATATGTAAAACAAGCAAAAACACTCACACTGAGACATATTAAATATAAATTTTAGAGAATGATTTGTCCTTTTCCTTTGGTGGTAAAATCATGCCCTGCCAGTCGGGGTCTCTTTTTTACGTAATCTTAACGCGCATGGAGTAAATGGCAAGTAACAAAGCTTCAAGTTCCACATAATCTTTCCTTCTTCATTACCCTAATGCTTTCTTATTTATTATTCCTAGATCCATATCTGACTTCTTTCTTCCTTTTCCCTCCATTCCAGAGAAATGTGTGATCTAGCCATTCTAAGACCAACAGAGAAATTTGCACAGAGGGAAAAAAAAAGGAATGAAACAATGATGTTAGAAGAAACAAAGTTTGCAGTGAATTTTTTAAGTCTTCATCAGAAATGGCTTGCCCAAATTTTAAAAATAGATTTGTGTCATCACTTCTGTCTTATTTAAACTATTAGTTGAAACATGAAACTGGCAATACTGACTTTAACCTACAAGCAATTTCATATGTGATTCAAATGTATACTACTAGGAAAAACATATCATTGATTACATTAAAATTTTCTCATCCCTTGAGATTAACAAAAGTAAAAAAACACAATAATTCATGAGGTCAGAACTCAAATAGCAACACACAAATTTAGTACTAGAAAGTATTAATCCTAATGAGAATACATTAAAGTCAAGTATGAAGCATACTATAGAAAATCCTAAAGAACCACTACAAAATTTAATTAACCCCCCACCAGGGTCCCTTTTATTTTTCATTAGCTTTTTTTTTTTTTATCTTAAAAAGTAATATAATGTTCACTGTAACGATTTCAAAACAAAGACGCATAAATAAAAAGTGAAAGCCCTCTGTCCTACCAATCTTACTTCCCTAAGGTAACCAGTTTAGTGTGTATTTTTAATCCAAAATAAAATAAATAAATGTGTCTATATACTGTTTTTTTTCACATAAACAGATTTTATATATATATATATATACACACACACACATATAGATGTTCTGTTCTGCAAGTTTTTCTTTCACTTAACTTATATCATGGATACCATTAGATGTGATAATTTTCAAATTGCTTTATTACCTGATATCTTTGATTGTGGCCCTCTTCATGGGATCCACCTGTAGCATATGTTTCAAAAGGCTAATCACGGAAGGATTTAAATACTGAGGGGTATAAAAGATCCCATCACATATCTTCTTAAAAAGAGTTGGCACATGATCATCATCAAATGGAAGTGTTCCACATAATAAAGCATAGAGAATAACCCCACTGCTCCATATATCTACCTCTGGGCCTGCATACAATCTGTAACAGGAAATACCAACTGGATTAAATAATCATTAGTAATTTAAGAGTCAATCAAGTAGTCAAAAATTTCAAATAAGGATATTTCAGAAAGAATTAGTAGTGAGAATATGGTTTTTATAGCCATTGCTGCATACTATACATAAAGATATTAATTTCATCAGTATTATCTTTGAAAACAAAAGTCAAGAAGTTTTGTAAGTTATGGACCATGGCTAAAATTCTGCTCTTACTACTTACTATGGCCTTCAAGGGATCCAACCAATAAGACCAAACTGAACAAACATATCACTATTGAATTTAAAACCACTGGGTTTTGGTTACAGAACAGAGATTAAATTATCTTTTATCAACTGAGAATGTTCTTTACCGATGGACTCTGAACCTGCTCTCCCCAATAACCCAAGACCCCCTACCAAGGTAAAAGGAACCTGAGGCTGTGGAAGAAAGCCAAACCGGTTCACAAATACTGTAGTACACTGTAACCAACTAACTTAACTAGCTGCAGGTAGTTAGGTCACCGATTCAAAGTCTGGCTTCCGCAAAAGGATTTCTTTACATTGATAAAATAAATTGCTCAACTGATCAATAAGTACCCTTTTGAAATTAAAAGTTCCCATTCACCCAGACCTTGAAGGAAGACCTTATCTAAATTAGGAAAATTAGATTTCGGTAATAGCCCATTGCATAATGCATAGTTATAACACATTTCTTTTAATTTCTTTAACACTGCTCCCTGCATCCAGGTCCTGAATTGTTTTCTTCTCAAAGAATTAAGATATAAAACACAAATGAAATAATAATTTAAAAAAGAATTTTGGATAATTAACATAAAAAGATGATGATGAAACTTGATATATCTAAAATTAGTTACTCCTGCCTTATTATTGAGCCATGCTCATATATAATTTCTTTGAGCAGTCTAGACAAGCAAGCTTATGAAAACAGAAAGAAAATACTACAATATTTCTGTATTCTCAGTTAATCAAGATGTGAAACATTGAAACAAAGAAATGTGGTTTGGATGAAAAGTTATTAAAAGTTAATTATGAAAGCTAGTGAACAAACTTAAGCTTCTCTGTTTTCAATTTCAGTGGTATAGCAAAGAATGAAGAGTTACTCTTAAAAAAATTAAATTCTGTTTTCTAAACTATTAAAAAAAGCTGCACTGTACAGATATCCTCAAGTTCCCAATGCTGGTTGTTAGTAAATTGAGAAGTTAGAATTCTTACAATTTTGCAGTCTCTAAAAGATTTAAAGAATGAAGATTCAACATAAATGAAGTCTGAAGATTTTATCAATACTTTAGTCCAATTCCCCAAGACACTTCTTATCACAAAACCTAAACCTACTACAAAATGCCATCTATTTAAAAAAATCAAAGCTACATGTTACACTTGTAATTCTTCTAATAGGAAATCATTTCTAACTACTAGATATTTCTGAATTATTCAAGTTTTCAGCATGTTACCTACCTTTAAAACTCACTAGTTTTAAACCTTTAATTTCTTCCACCAAGGGAAAAAACTGAAGTACTCTCTTCTAACTACTTTAATATTGACTTGCAAACCAACATTCTCTTCTATAAATGGAGTCCTTAACCCATCTTCACTTATAATATTTTCTTCTTAAAACAGAACACTTTCAGATAAAAGAAGAACAAACCTTATATTTCTTTCTTTTCACTAGAATTAAATATGACATCATAGACTAGCAAAATCTAGGAGAAAAAGACAATTACAAATGTATTGGGGGCGGGAGGGTGTCAAATACTACCTTCCTGAAATTACTTCTGGTGCAGCATAGTTGGGTGAGCCACAACTTGTTCTTAAAAATTCACCATCTGACATCATGTTTGAAAGACCTGAAAGTGCACAAAATCAGCTACTAAAGATTTCCCAAGGACAAAAATAAAAACAAAACCCCATTAAACAATAAAATTGAGCCTGCATTAAAGTGATAAATCATCATTTTGTTCTTTGCTTCAACAATCTCCTATAGTCTTTACTGTTCCCAGATATTCTGCCATTATGCCCTAAAATATGTAATCTATTTCAACACTTAAAGTTAGTGCATTGTTGGGAGTTTAATGAGTATATATTAAGCTGCTGGGTTTTTTGCTTACTAGAATAAACTTGTCATGTTTCAGTTTTATTAATATGGAAATTACTAGGGAAAATAACAGAACAGATGAATAGAAGGATTAAAATTCAATGTTTCTATTAACCTTGTTCTGATTATTTAAGAAAAAATAATAATTTTAAAGTTCCCTCATAGCTTTACTCCAAAAAGAAACCTTTGCCCCGTTAGAAATGCACTCTATAGGGCTGGCCTGTGGCTCACTCGGGAGAGTGTGGTGCTCATAACACCAAGGCCACGGGTTCGGATCCCATATAGGGATGGCCGGTTTGCTCACTGGGTGAGCGTGGTGCTGACAACACCAAGTCAAGTGTTAAGATCCCCTTACCGGTCATCTTTTAAAAAAAAAAAGAAATGCACTCTATAAAAATAATTATTGCAAATGAGCAATAAGGAAGTCAAATAATGTAAGCCATTACCCCCCCAAAAAAAGCTCAGGTTTGGTTGACACTGTTCAGTGAATATAAATTTAAAAATATATATTCAAAAATGAGGAAAATATTTACAAGAATTTCCTCTGATTTGAAATAAAGCCAACCAAAAGATAGTTGCAGAGATTCATTTTTCTCTTAGATTTAAAAATGTCAATGGCAATTTATATAGGAAACAAATTTAAATGGGAAAACAATTTATAAAGGAAACAAAGGAAAAATAAATTCATTTTTAACATTATCAAAATAATGTTCCTTCAGCTGAAATTATGATTTTCTATCATTTAAAATATTTTACATTTTATATATATAATTTTGCTCATATAGTTCACCTTCTGGCTTTCAAAGTTTTGAATAATTCCACCCCACTTTTCTTTTTTTTCATACTTGACCAAAAGAACATACTGAAAATAAATAAGGCTTCTACCTTCTCCTTCACAAATAATTGTCTCTTTTAAAATGATCTTTCTAATGCTGCCAGCTTAAACTGTTTACCTACCATAAAACTCAATTTTAAAGACAGAAAGCTAAGAAAAATAATTCCTTAGCTTTTCTTCTTTTTGTATGCTCACAGACAAAATGGTGAGGAGATTTTGGGATAATCAATTACATAAAATAAAAGTTATCTGAAGAATGCTACTTATATTTGTTAAATATAATGAACATATGAAACTACAAAAAATATCCTTACCAAAATCAGCTATCTTTGCATTCATGTGTGCATCAAGCAGGACATTTTCAGGTTTCAAATCTCTATGGACTACCATATGTCTATGACAATAATCCACACCAGAAAGGATTTGTTGGAATAGTCGTCGACTTTCTTTTTCATCCAGCTAAGAAAAGTAAAGAGGCGACTTAAAGGTATATCTTTCAAAATACATTCTCCTGCCTATAATTCTCCAACCTATAAAACTGTCAAAATGCATAAAACATTGCAAATTAATTTCACTCATGAGATGCTTTTGAAATGAGAAGGCGATACATGCAGCACAAAACAGAAATGGTAAGGGGATCTTGGAACCCAAATCAGTAACTCAACTTTCTAATATTGTCATCTGCATAAGACTATATTGTAATAGCTTGCCTATTAAAGCTATTTCAAATACTTTCAATTTCTGCTTGAAACTAGGCATGTTTTCTCCTATAAATTGGAAATGTTTCATCCTATATTCCTTTAACAGATATACGTTGAACATCTTCAGTGTGCTACACACTGTTTTAGACATTCATGATATAACAGTGAATAAAACAAAGACCCTAATCTAGTTTATAAAAATAGACAATAAACAAATAGATATAACATCAAGGAAGGACAGTGCTTTGAAGAAAAATAAAGAAGAATAAGACTACAGAGTGATGTTCTGGTGGGAATACTATTTTAAGCTATGAGGAAGTAACATTTAAGCACTGTTAATGAATTAGCAACTTTGTTATTATATGTCCTGAAATAAAAGGCATTTTAGGGCCGGCCCCTGTGGCTCACTTGGGAGAGTGCAGCACTGGTAGCACCGAGGCCGCGGGTTCAGATCCTATATAGGGGTGGCCAGTGCGTTCACTGGCTGAGCGTGGTGCAGACCACACCGTGCCAAGGGTTGCGATCCCCTTAATGGTCATAAAAAAAAAAAAAAAAAAAAAAGCATTTTAATTTTAACAAAAGAAAACCCTTAATTTGTTTTATAAAATATAAAAGCATTTATCTTTAGTATGTTTGATTAAAAAAAAATATATCTTATGCTTAAAATATTATTTAAAACTTCTCTTTCTATTCATATTCCCCTTAATGGTCAAAAAAAAAAAAAAAAAAAAAAAAGCATTTTAATTTTAACAAAAGAAAACCCTTAATTTGTTTTATAAAATATAAAAGCATTTATCTTTAGTATGTTTGATTAAAAAAAAATATATCTTATGCTTAAAATATTATTTAAAACTTCTCTTTCTATTCATATTTTCTCTTTTTATGATTTTTTTTCCAACACAAGTGATAACCATTATTTGGACACGCTGCTCCCAAGATGTCATTTAATTAATAAGCTACTAATCTTCTAGGTGAAGGACTGTAATATGCAATTCTCTAATAAAGGTCATTAAGTAGCATTCTAAAATCAAACTTTCACATTTTAAATGGCATGGTTAATCTGGGAGAAAAGACAAACTAGTAATTCCTTATGAAAGCAAAATTAAAACTATTAAAGTACAAGGAAATATCCTTCCTCTAGAAAAAATACTAATCCTTTAGCAGTCTAACAATTTTATTTTTAAAAGAAATGTAGGTTCATGGGAAAAAAGAATATTTGTTCAAAATATGAAAGAACAGGAGAAAACTTAATTGATTAAACAAAATGTAAGAGGTAAAATAACTAGATATGCTACAAAAATGAAAAATTATACTATATTCATAACAAATACAATTCCAAAGGATGAAGGAGGGGATGTCTATAAAGGAAGATTAGGAAAGTCAAAACATATTTCCAGTTATACATGGCAGATTGAATCTTTTGTCTCCAATCCATGAAACATCACTAAAATGACATCAGTAATAAAAGAGGCATATAAAGGCAAAAAGGACAAAAGAAGAGACAACAAGAAGAGTCACCAAGCTGGACTGAGCTGTGATAAAGCATTAGCCAACAAGAGTCACCAAGCTGGATGAGCAGTGGTAAAGCATTAGCCAACAAGAGAAAACTGAAACCTTAAAATAAACTCATCTGCACACAGAACCCTGGAAAGGCCTAGAAATTGGAAGCATTGGGAACTTCTGAATGTAGAAGTGAGAGGTGGACTGAAAACAGGACAACTGGTTGAAAGCGAGAAGCTTTCAAACTCACCTCTTGTGGAGAATAAGACCTGTGGTTACTCCTGTAAGGATGAACCAGCTCTGTTCTCAATAATAGCAAGGCAGGGATGAGGTATTTTGAGAAAAACATGGGGATAAGTGAAAGTCAACATAGTAATGAGTGAGACTTACAGTCCACTTCCCCACTCAGCTGGTGGAACACTAGTAGCTAAGCTAATACCTTAAAAAAATTGGAAGGGTTTCTTCTGGAGCAAATATCTGATTTAAGAAAAAATACTTGTTATTATTGACATTTGGTATACCCTAATAAAATGTACAGGTCCCTGTCTCTTCAACCTATGGGAAGGCCCACCTATCAGTAAGTCCCACCCACATGAGCTTGGTATTTAGTACCTCACTCTTAAACATTAAGTGGACAACCAAGAATCACCAGATATCTGAGGTAGGGCCATGCACAAAAGACAAAGACAAATAAAATGAACAGAAGAAAAAATGGGGAGCAGAGAGCACAGAAAATATAGAAACAATGCAAGGAAAAGAAGAAAAAATGGGGAGCAGAGAGCACAGAAAATATAGAAACAATGCAAGGAAAAGAAGAAAAAATGGGGAGCAGAGAGCACAGAAAATATAGAAACAATGCAAGGAAAAGAAGAAAAAATGGGGAGCAGAGAGCACAGAAAATATAGAAACAATGCAAGGAAAAGAAGAAAACTTAAAAAAAAAAAAACTGTCATTCTCAGACAGATACGGTCATTACATCTGTGGAATCAAAAACAGCAGGCTATTAAAAAAAATTTCAGAAAACAGGAAGGATCTTTGAAACAGAAAATATGACAGCAAAATTTTAATATTCAACAGGTAAAACCGAAGAAATATCCACAATGTAAAACAAAATGACCAAGAAATAAAAAATGGAAGAGAAAAAGATAAGAAAACAAGGTATCAATTCAACTTGTGCCTGTTTCCATTTTTTCAAGCAGAACCTGTTTTTTTTTTTTTTTTTTTTGGTTGGGGGAAGGGGAAGTAGAGACAGGGAATACCTGAAATGGAAATGAACCATGTTAAGAAATAATCAAATCATAATTAATTTGGTTAATGAGTTTGATTTTGATTAAAGTAAACATGTTACACAGAACAAATGAAAATGAATGAATAATTAAATAGCTTTAGATTTGGAATGAGAAAAATTGTCTTTGTCAGTGCTAGATACAGCTCTTCCATAAAGTGGCTTCTGAATACCACATAACCTGGGTATGAGAAAAATTATGGGCAAGGGGCAGTGTTCAGTTTTTGTATTAATTGAAGGTCCTGTTCAAATGTCTTCTCAAGTTCCTTCCAGCTCTAAATTCTTTAAGTCTAATTACTACCTCATTCATGGAGCCTGTTTTTACTATTCCACATACATCAGATTTCTGAAACCAAAAAATGAATGCAATTTAAATGTGGCTAGATTTGACTAGCAAGGCCTAGATTTTTAAGCATTTAATATATTTTGTAAGGATTAACTATATATTTTAAGATACATATTAAAAGTATTGTATACCCCAAAAACATAAATCTCAGGATTATGAGTTCTGGGGTCTCAATCCACTTCTGTTATTAATAAATCATATGACCTTGAGCAAACATATAAACTTTAAGGCTCAGTATCCACATCTGTACAAATACAGTAGGAAGATAATCTTTAAGGTCCTTTATAGCTCAAATAGTGTATGATCCTAAACAAATATAAGACTAAGGGAACTGGTTATTAAATAGACCTCTTAAATTGCTTTCCAACATTCTGATGCTAGTAAGGGATAAGGGGAGTTACAAAATATAAACAGGATTAAATCAGAACTTCTTACCCTTCCATTTTTACAGATATAATCAAATAGCTCTCCTCCTGAGACATATTCCATCACCATGAAAATATCAGATGGTGTACTGATGACCTGGTACCTGGTGAGAGAAAACATTTTCTACTGATATTAAAGCATGTATATTCATTCATTCAATAAATACATACTAAACACCCATAATATACCAGATACTGGAGTAGGAGCTGGGAAAGCTGCAGATAACAAAACAAATACTCTCCTTTCATGAGTTCGTATTCCAGGAATCAGAAAACAGACACTAAATAAGAAGTGTCTCAGGTAGTAGAACATGCTATGAAGAGAAAGCAAACAAAGAGTAATCTTTTATGCAGAGACTCAAGAAAGGCCTCTGTTAAAGTAACATTTGAGGAGAGCCTAATGGAAGAAAGGGAGCAAATTATGCCATCATCTAGGAGGAAGATGAACCAGGCAGCAAGTGCAAAGCTCCACAGGTGGAAGCCTGCTTGGCATGTTCAAGGAATGGTAAGAAGACTAGAGCAGAGTAAGCTGGGAGACAGAAATAGGATGTGGAGTCAAAGACATAACTGGAGGCCAGAGGACACAGAACTTTACATGCCGTAATAAGGCTTTGGCCTTTACCCTAAAAAAGATGAAAAGCTGTTGAAGGCTTTAAACGGAGTAGTCATGCAATCTGGCATATTAAAAGAACTATGATGCAGTGAGAAGTGGACAGTAAAGCTGGAAGCAGGAGGCTACTGCAGTAGTCCATGAGAGGTGGCTGAGACCAGGTTGATGGTGATAAAAGAACTGAGAAACAGTGAGATCCTAGATATACTTTGAAGGAAGAGATGGGACGGATGGTAGCAAGTGAGAGAAATATGGGAGTTAAAGATAGTTACTAAGTTTTTGCCCTGGGTAACTGACTATTAACTGAGATAGTGAAAACTATAGGAAGAACAAGTTTGGGAGAGTAATAAACAGTTCAGTTTGGGTCAGAGGTTCGAATCCCCATACCGGCCAGCTGTGGGGAAAAAAAAAAGAATTCAAAGACTTCAGTTTGGACCATGTTGAATATGAAATACGCCGTGGCCTTCCAAATGGAAGTATAAAGTTGGCAATGGGCATATGGGTCTGGAGTTCAGAGAAGACCTTTCAAAGCGGGAGATGTACATTTAGGAGTCATCAACATATGGTATTAAAAACCATGGCACCTCAACAAATTAGAAGAGGTGAGAGTGAAACAAATTTTGAGTAAGCTGATTCAGTAGAAAAGCCAAAGCAGCTGAAGTTATAGCCTGCAAGATAAAGCAGGAGCTGAGCAGTAAATAAATTATCTGTAGACCCTACAACTGGCAAGTATCAAACAACTTTAAGATTACTGCCCTTTTGAAACATTAGATTCCTGAAATTTTATTTGTATGATCAGATATAAGCAGCATAGGAGAAAACCCTTTCCATTGCATTTTCTCTACTGAGGCTAACAGATGTTATGTAGAAATTTGGAAGTTGAGAGGTTTTACTAGCAGATCATTGTTGGCTCTACAGGTACAGGGGCCCTGAACATCATTGACTAAGAAGTCATCTGTCCAGAAGACAGGAAAGAATGAGAAGGATAATAGCTGAAAAACACAAAGGCAAAACATGAATGTAGCTTAACTCATCATGAATGAGGTTAGATAAATACATGAACAGGAAGAAACTTTTCAAAACCCTCAGGAAACAGAAAGAACTGTCAGTCATCTTTCCCACTTGTCAGATTAAAGAAGTTAACAAAAATGATGAAAAAATGACTGGACCATATTTAATATAAACATGTCTTACAATTTAATTATATGAGGATGCCTGAAAAGCTTGAGGTTCTGAATTTCTCTCCGGATTTTTCCTACCACATCAAGGCTTCGAATCTTCTGTCGATTGAGTATCTTCACAGCAACTTTATGCCCGGTCAATTCATGTTTGCCAACTGTAGGAGAAATAAATTCAATAAATTAGTACCAGGCTTGATTAGTAATATATTTAGACATAGTCTAAGAGTAGTAATTTTAGCATTCTCAGAAAATACTTGAATAAATTTAAGTTCCTTTCTCTTCTGCCCAATTTACCCCCAAATGTTTAGATGTTCAAGACTCCATACCAGCCAGCCACCAAAAAAAAAAAAAAAAAACCATAATAATAAAAAGAAAGTGGTTAGATGTTCAACAGTAATTAAGTAGGAAAATACATAAGAAACTGGTAATACAAGTTTCTTCCAGAAAGGAAAGCTGGAAGGCTAAGGGTAGAGAGAGAAAAAAGAGACTTCCTTTCCTGCTGTATACCTTTTTGTACCTTTAAATTCTTTTCATTTTTTAAACTATCATAACATATAAATTATATATTTTTATTTTGGTATACAGTTCGATGGATTGTAACACATGTAGAAATTATAACACCATTATAATCAGATACAGAACAGTTCCATCATCCCAAAAACTCCCTTTGTGCTATAGACATACTTCCCCTATCCATAACCCTTTGCACCTTTTAAATTTTGGTTCATGCATGTGTTTCCATTTTTTTTTTTTCCTTTTTGTCTTTTTTTCGTGACCGGCAACGGATCGCAACCCTCAGTGTCGCGCCCGTACCAGACCGGGACCGGCAACGGGATCGCAACCCTCGGTGTTGCGCCCGCACCTCGCTCAGCCAGTGAGCAGCCGGTCTGTATGTGGGATCCGAACCCTCGGCGGGAGCACCGCCGCACTCTTACAGTGCGCCACCAGGCCAGCCCAAAAACTTTTTTTGGTGGCTGGCTGATATGGGGCTCTGAACCCTTGACCTTGGTGTTACAACACCATACTCTAGCCGACTGAGCTATCCAGCCAGCCCATCTATTTTTTTAAATGAAGCTAAAAATAAGAAAAAAAATTAAGTGATTTTTATCTTTTAATTTTGAATGCTATGCCCAGTCAGTGGTAATAGCAGAAGCTGGATATTATTGTAGAGACAAAGTCTCCAAAAATTTATCCTCTATGTCTCTATGCACTCTTTTTGAAGAATCTACTGGAGAATATATATTCCATCAAAATCAGGGGGAAAAAAAACCAAGAAAGATGACATGGAATCCAGTAAAGAAGGGATACATACAGGAGAAAAACTAAGAATCCCCAAAATGGTGATGAAGCAAAGCACAGGTAACAAACATGTAGAAGACAACAAATCCAGATAGAAATGTGTCAGAGGATCCAAGATCCAAGAATAGTTGGAGGGGCAAAGGGCAGACAAATTGTCTTTGAAAGATAGGTTTGAAAGTATGGAATATTATAAAGAGAAAGATTTAACAAAGGCACTGGGCGATATTGGAAATTTAGCCTGAGTTTCAAAGAAAACTAAGCAGATAGAAAAATTAGGTAAATTATTAACTCCAGGAAAAATTAAAAGTTCTATAAGAAACAAAATATAATCATAGATATTGGCTTAGCAAATAGTATTTACAGTCATGATTATGAAAACACCAAATATGGCCTTTTTTTAAAAAAAAGATGACTGGTAAGGGGATCTTAACTCTTGACTTGGTGTTGTCAGCACCACACTCTCCCAACTGAGATAACCAGCCATCCCTATATAGGGATCCAAACCCGTGGCCTTGGTGTTATCAGCACCATACTCTCCCAAGTGAGCCACAGGCCGGCCCCAAATATGGACTTTTTAATAGTATAATATAACTATATTAGGAGGATGGGGGTATAGAAGATATAAGAGAAATAAAAAGGGAAGAAAAATCTATAATCATAGCTGAAATGAACTGTGGAAATCAAGTACACTCTAATTTCTAATAAGGCTTTTTCCAATCCCCAATAGTAATTAGATGTAATTAAGAGCAGCCAACTTGACTGTTAAACCCCAATTCAGGAAGTAACTTCTTTCTGAGAACTAGGTTATTGACATCTGAGAAGGTGTCCTAATCTCATCCTCCAAATCTCCAAACTCTGGCTTAGTGTGAACCTTCTTCTGTTAGCCTCACAACTGAAACCGAAGTGGGAAATAGCCACAGCACTGGGTAATACTGACAGCCTCAGACTTGGGAAGAACACTAAGACAGAATCTGTTTGGTCCTGAACTCCAATTCATCACACCAACCAGTCTCATATCATATCCTGCTCAAGTGAATTTCAACCCCAACTAACTTTAAAAAATGATTTGGGCTTATCCAAAACTCTGGACATATATTCTGTCATTTTATAAGGAACTGGAATAGGAGATTCAAAGCATTCTCTCAAATTCATTCACTTGGCATTATGTACTGAGCATCTCCTATATGCTGGTTAATGCTGCTGGGGAAAACAGTACTGATCAAAAGCAAACTGGGTCCTGGGACCTACCTATTCTGTGAAGATGACCCAAATGTAAGGTAAGAAAAAGCAAAATATCTTACAATACAAAAAAAAAAAAAGACATTAAACTCACCCAAGAAATGCATGAATATTTTAGCAAAAATTATTAACTACATTCAGGGTGATAAAAGGAGTTATGATAAGAACAGAGCAAGAAGAATTTTACAACAGAACAATTAAAGTCATTTAGAAAGCCATAAGTTACAGCAGTAATGTGATGGAAAATTTTATGGACCACATACCAAAAATGAGGAAGAAATTGGCAAGAAGGGGCCGGCCCGTGGCTCACTCGGTAGAGTGCGGTGCTGATAACACCAAGGCCCCGGGTTCGGATCCCACATAGGGATGGCCGGTTCGCTCACTGGCTGAGCGTGGTGCTGACAACACCAAGTCAAGGGTTAAGATCCCCTTACCGGTCATCTTAAAAAAAAAAAGAGAAAGTAATTGGCAAGAATACCAGGGAAGGTGAAATCCACGGAATAGGGCATTGAGTATACTTCAACTCAAGAGTAATAGGGAGTAGAATATTACTCCACCTGTAAATAATAGAAGCCCCACCACCACCACCAAAAAAAAGACAAAACAAACAGAACAAAATCAATAACCAATCAAGTTATACTACAAAACTTTTTTCTAATACTTGAACATTTCATCAAATTATAGATTAATTGGAAAAAAGTATAGAGGTATAACTTCTTCACTTTTGAAACAATAGAAGGAATTAGCAAAAGTATGATTGTATTCAAACAAAAACTGAGGACAGTGGGGGGAAGAGGGAAGGTACCGTGACAGCAACTGTAAAGAGATTATTCCAATTCATTCATAAGCACACACGCAGGCACACTCACATACAAAGACGTTAAGAACTCTGTTTAGGCAGAGTATATGATTAGTTTTTTTGTTTGTTTTTTAAATGGAAAATTAGTATACTAATTCCTTTTTCATGGCTGAGTCAACTGACAGAACATTTTATGAAAACAAAATGGCAGTCAATACCATAGGAGAACATTAAAGGTGACATTACATTTTTTAAAAATCTGTAGGTCCCCTCCTAAGAACTTAAGTTAGAATTAAGTAGATTTAAAAATGTGCATAAGTATGTTTATTACACAGTATATATTTTTTTGATGGCTAGCCAGTATGGCGATCCAAATCCATGACCTTGGTGTTACAAAGCTGCACTCTAACCAACTGAGCTAACCAGCCAAGTGCACTTGAACCAACTGAGCTAACCAAAAGCTGAGAGTTTATCACCAGTAGACCTGCCGTACAAGAAATGTGAAAGAGAGTTCTTCAAGCTGAAGGAAGAGGACAGTAATGGTAACATGAAAACATATGAAAGTATAAAACTCACTGGCAGAAGTAAGTACACTGTCAAATCCAAAACATTCTTTGAATACTGTTATGGTGGTAGGTAAATCAATTATATCTCTAGTATAAAGGATAAAAGGCAAAATTATTAAAAACTAAATCTACAATAATTTGTTAAGGATAGGAATTATTTTTAGAATGTAAATTACAACATCAAAGATATAAAATGTGGGCAGAGGGGGGAGTAAAAGTGTAGAGTTTGTGTATGCAATCAAAGTTAAAATAGCATTAGCTTAAAGTACCCAGTTATTCGTATGTTTTATGCAAGACTTGGGGTAACCACAAAGTAAAAGCCCATAAGAGATACACAAAAGATGAAAAGATCCAAAGCATACCACTACAGAAAGTCATCAAATCACAAAGGAAGAAAGTAATAGAGAAAGAAAGGAACAAAGGAGCTACAAAAAACCTAGAAACCAATTAACAAAATGGCACTAAGTCCTTACCTATCAATAATTACTTTGAATGCAAATGGATTAAATTGTCCGATCAAAAGTCATAGAGTAACACCCCATAATGGCCAGCCACCAAAAAAAAAAGAAAAAGAAAAAGTCATAGAGTGGCTGAATGGATTAGAAAAACAAGACCCAACTATATGCTGCCTACAAGAGATTCACTTCACCTTAAGGGACACTCAGACTGAAAGTGAAAGGATGGACAAAATAGACTTTAAGTGAAAAACTGCATAAAGAGACAGAGAAGGTCATTATGTAGTGATAAAAGGGTCAATTCATCAAGATGATGTAACAGTTTAAATACATATACATCCAACATTGGACACCTTAAATATATAAAGTAAAGATAAGGGATCTGAAGGGAGAAACAGACTGCAACATAATAATAGAGAATTTCAATATTCCACTTTCAACACTCAACAGATCATCCAGACAGAAAATCACTAAGAAACCCTTGGATTTGAACCATAGACTAAATGGACCTAACAGACATATATAAAATATTCCATGCAACAGCAACAGAATACACATTTTTAACAAGTGCAAACTGAACATTCTCCAGGATATAGAGCATATAGCAGCCCACAAAACAAGTCTTAACGAATTTAAAAATTGAAATTACATCAAAGTGTGTTTTCCAACTACAATAGTATGAAACTACAAATCAATAACAAGAGGAATAATAGTAAACTAACAAATGTGTGAAAAGTAAACAAATATGATCCTGAACAACTATTGGATAAAAGAAAAAATTAAAGGGGAAATTTAAA